AACACTCCGTAGTGGCAAGATGCTGGCTGTGGTGAGACAAACTGATGTGCTGGCAGTATGGAGTTCTCTCGGATGATATTTAAAGATCCACAAAGGCATTCCAAAGAATAAAAGGAATCCAGAGCCTGGCAGAATTTCTGCAATGGTGCACATTACATAAAATTTAAAAAAAAAAAAAAAAAATGCACTCAAGGATGTAGCTTGGTCAAGAGAAACAGAAGCTGCTGCTTCTACTTGTTGGCAGACATGGCAGCAAAAGTCTTCATTACAAAAGTGTGCAGAAATCACCAAGATGCAAGCTGACTGAATTCTGTGCGTTGCACTGAAAGTAAGAATCCTCTGCAATAAGACTGAATATAAAAGAAAATGCTTGACATACTTCATTTCAGATTTTAAGGAGAACAACTTGCTGTTTTGAGAGCTTCCTTTATAAGAATAGGAACACAGTGGGCAGACCTGAAGGCTCACCACCCATTTTTTTCCCTCTTTTTCAATGTACTTTGCAATACACACATCCTGAAATTCAATTTAAGAATGATACAATTCAGCTTACATTCAAAGCATTTATAGAGAAATAAATGGCTATCATTACCAACTTTGAATGTTCTCAGTGGCTTCTGTAACAGGTTCAGCATTCCTAGCCCCCTACCCAGTGCAGCCTCTGTCTACATTTAATACTACCATTCCTCCCACCACTTCTCTCCATGATGCTTTGTCCAAATAGCCACCATTTACTTTTCCCTTTCTGCCTTACTTTATTTGCTGCCTGTGCTTAGAACTTTCCCCTCCTCTGTGTGACAAATAGCCATGTCTTTCTTTCTTTCTTCTACAGCATTAACAAAAATACATCTGATGAAAACTATGTATTTCTATTAGGCATTTTAAAGTGGTTTGCTATTCTGTGTCCAGGCACAGGAGGAACGCTCTTGCATTTGTCCATCATACGCATCATTCAGGTCCCAAGATTTCAAAACAAGAATTAAATCAGAGGCTCTTAATTAAACAGTCAAACCTTAAGTGGCAGGCACTCACCTTGGCAGCAAGATAAATGCTTATTATGGAGCATTTTTAAATATGTAGATACTTGTCTAGGTGACTGAATAGCAAATCAGGAAGTCGTTCTGGAAATTACTATTTTTATTTATTTTTCATTGTCTTGACCACTGTTCCTTGCAAACTATTGAGCACTGGCTCACCTATCTCAACTCAGATTACAAGCTTTCCCGTGTCCTGCACAAGGCTTGGCAGGATTCCTGACAACAAGTTATCGCCGCCAGTTGTTTAACTTTGGAACTGAAGTAGCACATTACTTCAGCAGATAATGAATGAACAAATTGTGGAAACAGCCTGCCTGCTGACCTACGGCAACAGTTTAGCTTTCTCTTGGGCTGACAAGATTTAAACTTGCAGACTGAGTTTCACCAGCTTTTATACCCAGAATGAATCAAATTACCTATATGTGTGAGCTGGGAACCAGCTTCTAAATACAACACCCTTCCCTCCCAGTAATGTTAAATATGAGAT